GGAGGGGCCGCGGGTTCGAGTCCCGGAGCCGCGCGGGGCTGGGCTGGGCGCTAATTACCTGCAGCTTAATTACGGGTTTATTTTTAGAAGCAGCAGCAGTAGTGGAGTGTGCCCGGCGCTTTGCTGCGGGAAGGGTGTCGTTTCCCTCGGGAGCTCCTGCAGGCTGGGGCTGAGCATCCCTGGCACAGGGCAGTGATGCTGTCCAGGCGCTGGGCACAGCCCGGGATGGTCCCGAGGTCTCCTGGCTCTCTAGGATGAGCAGGAGAAGGGGAGGAGATGTCTCACCCCCGACAGTCAAAACATAACCCGGGTGAATAAATGTCCCCTTTGTGTCCAGCCTCCTGCTGCAGGTGTGGGGTCTGTCCTCAACCCCCAGGGAGCTTCTGGGATGTGTGATGGGTGATCCTGGGTCCAGTGGTCCCATCCCAACTACAGCTGCATCCCTTCAGCACGGGATGCAGGATGGGCTTTAGGCATCAGTGTGCTGCTCACTGAAGTCCTGCTCATTAGGACTTCTGGTGTCATCTTTGCCTGGGGTGTGATTATGGGATCGTTTCTCACACACGGGAGAATGGCAGCTGACAGGTCATGTAGAAAAGCTTTTCTGAAGTGTTGCTGAGCCTGAACTGCATCCTATTGGGAAGGGAATGCTCAGCAAATCCTCTCCAGGCTCCATGCTAGACCTGCCCCATGGGCTCTGTTAGCCCAACACTCCCATCAGGAGTTGCTTCCTCCCAACAGGATGACCACAGCCTTTTTTTGGGGAGGGTCTTGCCAGGGATGAATCCATGAACACTCCCAACCGACACAGCTGTAATTCGCATCAGGTGCCAAAAACATCTTTATTAGCAAAGTGTACACTAAAACTCCAGAGGAAGAGATGCTCACAGTTTTACTACTCTCAAAGGGAGCTCGATACATTACTTGAGCTGGTGGCCTAGGACTGGCACAGCATCTACCCGAGCGGCGAGGCGGCAGCGCTACGAGGGCTTCTCCTAGGGGGAGGCTGCAGGAGAAGGGCTGGGCAGGAGGAAGCACCTATCAAACCTTTATCAAAAGGGAGAAGCTGGGAGGGAAGGCTGGACATGAGGTGTCTGGGGCTTTTCAGCTTTCTGGGATTGTGCTTTTTTTGAGTTTTGTGCTTTATGCCCAGGCCGGAGAGTGGTTGGACGTTGTCTGGGGAGCTGGGGGATGTGTGTTGGGGTTTGCAAGGTGTGATCAGCCTTGCTGGAGGAGTCAGTGCCCTGGGACTCGTGCTGAAGCATGCTGAAAGTGGCAGGGGCTCTTGGCCCTTAGTTTCTCACTGGCAGTCAAGTAGGACAAGGAGAACTTCTGTCCTCTGTCCTTGTCCTGGGCTTCCCACCTGCAGCTCCCCCCAGCTCACCCCGTGGAGATCTCCCCCTCCTCCTCTGCTGACCACCTGTTCTGTAGCACCCACAGGCTCTGCTGGGCTCAGCCCAGGACCAACACAGTGGTCCCTGCTCCAGAGAGCTGACAGCACAGTGGCCTCGCAGCGAAGAGCGGGGGGTTTGCTCCCCTGTGGTCGCTGTGGCTCGCTTGGCTTGTTCCCTTCTTGAGAGGAAGCCTTGGCAAGGAAGAGGCAGTGGGTGCCTTTTGGCCTAGCCAGCTCATGGTGGCTGTAAGAACTGTTCTGGGTTCACTATAATGTGCAAATGAAATCTACTCTATGGAAACCTCTGGAAAATGTTGACCTTGGAAGCCAGCCACTCTACGCTTCCTTCACGGCGGCAGAAGACAGCTACAAATTAGACCCCTGAGCCAATGGCATTGTCCAATGTCTTACCCTTGCAGTCAAAATCAACATCAACTGACCAGGCTCGCAGTTGAGGTTCCTCTTGACTTGCTTCGCAGCCCCCACGTCTCTAACTTCCAGGAAGCACTGGGTCGGAGAGGTGTCTCTGAATGTCCTGGTGCTCGGAAGATGCCTCCAAGTGCTCAGGGAGGGAAGGGAAACGAGAGCCCCTCAAGAGTCCCTGGGTGTTTGGTGCCCTTTGGTGGGGAGGCTCTGGGTCTGGGAGAGGTGGGGAGTGGTGCTCCTGCTCGGAGTAGACTGTCATGGTTTTGTCGGGTGACCCAGAGAGGTGCATCCCGCTTGACAACGAGTCCCTGGATTTCAAGTGGAACTTTTCTACCTCCGTGTAGCTCGGGCTCTGGTGGGAAAGGAGGAATCAGATGGGTTATGGTAAAAGTAAAACAAATCTACCATGCTCTCTCCTCATCGGACTTGGAACCTCAACAGGCTCCAAGCCCTAAAATGTTATTTTTCGCTTGAGGAAGCCTCAGAGCAGAGGAACCCACTTCCCTTCCCTGCTGATGGGACAGTGCTGGAGGTGGCAGCTGTGCCCCAAAATCTGATCTACTGATGCACTGATCTCTCCCCTCCCTGCTGATGGGGCAGTACTGGAGGTGGCAGCCGTGCCCCAAAATCTGATCCACTGATGCACTGATCTACTCCCATCTCAAGAGCCCTGTGCTTTGCCTGGGGGGAACTGCTGGCCCCAAAGCTGGTGCTGAGCCAGGAGGGATGAGTTTACCTGCTCCTGGGTGGCTGGCTCCTCGTCCTCCAGGGGTGTGCAGGGGGTGAGAGGCTCCAGGCTCCGCGGGAGGATGCCGTACATGGCCAGGTTCTGGGAGGACGGCGAGATGGGGCTGTAGGCAGGTGGCACTTGGGACAGCTGGCGCTGCAGGAGCTGGAGGATTACACTGATGTCTGATGACATCCTGGATTCCAGCCTGGGGACAGAGCAGCCCAGCGTTAGCACAGAGCATCCCAGAGAGCCAGACCCGTGGCTGGGCAGGGCAGGCACCAGGGAGGAGGTGCCAGTTCCGCTGCCCGAGGGTGATGATGCTTTGCCTGCTGCTTGTTGAGGTTTTTAGAGTGCTTCAAGCCAGCACTGCCACAGAGAGATCGATCCTGCCATCTCCCTCCTGCCACACTCGATCATCCTCTACCCAGTTTGGTTTTTTTTTGTAGAGCCAAAGTGGGATCTGGAGTAGGGATTTGGGGAAAAAGCTAAAACTACCCTGGAGGGGGGAAAATTGCAATGGTTAGTTTTAATCTGGATCAATTCTCCAGGCCAGCTGCCTGCACTGACAGATGGGAGTGAGGCACGTTGGTGCCAACCACTCTTAGCTGAGGAATGGAAGGAAATGGAAAAGTAGGAATCTCTTCCTTCTGCCTTGTTCCCTGACTGAAGTGAGCAAACCTGGCAGGAGCAGGCACAGCCCACCTTGCAGGCAATGGTTCCAGCATCACTTACTGAGTGGGCAGGAGATCTGTCCCCCACTGTCAGGGTGGGTGCTCCTGGGGCCTCTAAACCTGCACCTCCAGTGTGGGCTCTTCCTTCTTGCTCAAAAATCATAGAATCATGGGATGGTTTGGGTTGGAAGGACCTTAAAGACCATCTAGTTCCAATCCCCTGCTATGGGCAGGGACACCTTCCACTAGAACTAGAGCAGAGCTCCATCCAGCCTGGCCTGGAACACTTCCAGTGATGAGGCAGCCACAGCTTCTCTGGGCATTCCCACCACCTCCCCAGGAATCCCAGGGGTTGAAGGTGACATTGCTGCACATTGCAGCCACCTCTAGAAAGCAGAAGGTGATAGCCCAGAGTCTCTCTGGGTCCTTTCCAATGCTGTGGCCCAGGGACCTGCCCACCTGCTGAGCTGGGCCTGCAGGAGCTCCAGCCTGGACTCGATCTGCCCCGGTCTGTAGTCACTGTGCAGGGGCACGTCCCGTGGGCTGTGCACCAAGGAGATGTGTTGCAAAGACTCCGGAGGGTGGTTTGGCCTTCGGTCCTCCCAGAAGGTGAACATGTTGGGGATGTCTGGGGGGGTGGCTGGAAGGAGAGGAGACATCTCAGCACTTCTGGTTTGCATCCTCCAGCCCCACTGGCATGGAGGTGCTCCAGAGTCCACCTACATGGAGAGCCATCACCTTGACATAGATGGTGCTCAAGGAGAGTCCATCCCCCTGACACCTGAGGTGCTTGTGGGGATCCATCACCCTGGCACCCAAGATGCTCATGGGCAGTCCATCACACAGGCACCCAACACAACTATGGAATGCACTTGGCCCCTTGGGGTAGCCTCAAAGGGGTCACTGTGTGCTAGGAGAAACTGCAGGGGACAGGAGGGACAGAGGAGGTACTGCAGGGACAAAAGGCAGCTAAGACTCTTGGTTACAAGTGTGGCTCCATGTGAGTTGTTAGGCTCTGCCCCAAGCCAAGGCCACCATGGCCAAGCATCTCTCACCACCCTCCCACCAGCTGTGGGTACCTGCGTAGGACTGGCTGCTCTCTGCCGCCTGCTTGCCAACCTCCACGTCGTTGGCGTTGGTGGTGACAAGGCTGAGTGAGGGCAGAGCAAAGTCATCCTTTTTGGGTGAGGGGAAGGGCTCAGCTTTCACAGGACTGCCAGTCTTGGCCTCGTCATCGCTGGTCTGGGAGCAGGGAGAGGTGCTGCTGCCCACGTCGTCCCACTGGTCCTTACTCAGCGGGTCCTGCGGGTTGGTGAGCTCTGAGTAGGTGTGATACTGCTCTGCATCAGAGATGCCCGTGTCTGGGTCTGTGGGACAGCACAACAGGTTAATTTGGGGAGGAACAAAATCAGCCCCAATTCCTTCTAGGGTGGCTGTAGGGCTGGGACATCCTAAGGGGAGGGAGGGAAGGCAGTTTGGTTGCCCCAAGGGTGGTCTGCAGGGACAGAGGCACCAGCAGCCTGTGCTCTGGGGCACCTGCCAGGGCAGTAATTAAGTGATGATCCTGCTCCACAGCCCTGCAAGTATCTGCTGGTGCTGTGGGACTCACCAGGCTTGTTGGACTGGCAGAGGGAATGCTTGCGTCGGCGTGCCCGGCGGTAGGTGCAGTCGTACTCCTCGCTGAGCGGTGAGCGGGGAACGCTGTCTGCCTGAGGGATGAGAGGGGCTGGTCACCAGGGAAAGGGTGGCAGGTCCCATCCATGGGAACCACAGCCCATCCATGGGTGTCATTCCCCATCCATGGGTGCCATGGGGGCTACAGTCCATTCTGCATCCTCCTAGGGCTGGGGCAGCCCTGGCACTCACATCTCGCAGGTTGAAGGTGATCTCTAAGTTGCTCCAGAAGTTGTCAGAGAAGGCTGGGTACATGTCCAAGACCTCCAGCAGGTCCTCACGCTGGATCTTGTGCAAGTCACAGTAGGTCAAGGCCCTCACATCAGCGTTGGACTTCCCTGGGCGAGCGTAGAGGCTGATGGGCTCCCCAAAGATGTCATTCTTCCCTGTGCCAAGAAACAACTCATTAGGGAGAGGTGGAGGCACCCACTCCAGCTCCAGACCTACTAGACCAGAGGCCCACAGTTCAGGGTTCATGAACAAGGGGATTTCCAGCAACCCCAACCCTGATTGTGTATGCTGGGGATAACACTGGGAAAGCCATCCCTGATGGAGACACCAAGCCAAGGCAGTGATGGTTGGGGACTGCTGAGCCATGCCTGCTCTCCTCACTCCTTTGTGACTTCTTGACATCTTCCAGAGCTCCTCCATTCCCTGTCCACCGGTGTGGGGACCAGCCAGATGCTGAGGAACAGCCTGCCCTTCTCCAGGACGTGGAGAAGCCCTTCACCTGCCACCCTTTACCCACTGCTCATCACCCACCACCCTCTGCCCCTTGCCCACCACCCCTTGCCCTCCCAGTAGGAAGGACTTTTCCACCTAAGATTGCCACCACAATGTCTTCCCGGAGGATCTCGATGGAACCCCGGGAGATGAAGTAGAGTGTGGTGAGGACATCTCCATAGTGCACCAGGGTGTCTCCAGGAGGGGCATGAGTTGTCTTGAACTTCATGGCCAGGGCACGCAGGCAGCCCTTGCTGGCCCCTCGGAACGCCTTGCAGTTCTGGAGCAGCGTGCGGTTGAGGTGGAGGCAGATATCTGCCTGCAGGCAGTCAGGGAAGCCCTTCAGCACCTGGCAAGAGCAAGGGAAAGATGCCATCATGCCACTGTCCCTGGGAAAACCCACTGTGGCAGCCCTGGGAGGCTGTGTGACACAGCATGGGCCAAACAAGGAGTATGTGCACCCAGAAAGGCAAAGCTTCTTCTCATCCCTGGAGGTGTTCAAGCCTGGGTTGGATGGGGCTTGGAGACACCTCCTCGAGTGGAAGGTGTCCCTGCTTTAAGGTCTTTCCAACCCAAACCAGTCTGTGATTCCATGATCTTTAGATCTTCCCTTGGTGGATCCCTGTCTGCCTGTCATTGCCTTTTACTGCATATGTCTGGGGACAAGAGCACTCCCAAGCAATAAGGAATAGTAACCAGATTAATCTATTTATGCCCACTGGTGGCATATCCCCCTTTTCATCTTTCCACCCGCTAATCTTGGCTGAATGAGAGCACAAAAAAGGCACAAAGAGCACAAAAAACCTTAATTAAACAGCACCTGCCTGAATGCCAAGCAGCAGCAGCACGGGACAGTTGTGTGCAGCAACAGCTAAATATACCTGTGCAAATACCTCACGTTGAACAAAAGCTGAGTCTGAAGGTGAAACCAAGGTAAAACTCCCAATATGGAGAAAGTTGCTGCCACCAATGACTCATGGAGCCAAGGAGAAATCCACCTGGGTTTGGGTTTTTTTTGGAGAGCAGCATATGGCCCTGGGGTCCCCCTCGCTGTCCTCTCTGCTTACACCCTGCTGGTGGCCAAATCTGGAACAACCATGCTGGGGCTGCTGAGCACGACTTGTTCCTGGATCATCACCACCTCCCAGGCTAGCAGCAGTGCCTTAGTTTCCCTACTGGGAAATCAGGGGTGGCCGGATTGATTGGGCCGTGGGGTGATTGATTGGATCGCGCTGTGTCTCAGCAGGAATCGGTGTGAGCGGCAGCACGTCCAAGCCACGAGCTCAGCTCTTGCAGGGGATTTGTGACCTGGGTCTGCACTAAGCCAGGAGAACCTGTGCTTGGTAGGGTGCCATGGATTTGCTTCTTGTTATTGCCACTGATGTCCAGCCCAGGGTGTGTCCTCCACGGGAGAGGTTTAACCCGAAGCTCTCCCAGCAGCAAACTCCCAAATGCTGCCCAGTTGTTTAACGTGGCAACTTAAGATGGAGAAGTTGAATTTATACAAATCTGTGTCCAGGGATGGAGAAGAATCAAATCTTAAGGAAAAAAAAAAAGGGAGCATGAACTCAGGGAATGAGTGGGCTAACAACCAGCCCAGGGCCAAGAGACAGAGAGTACCATGTCCCACCTCTCTCCTTGCCCCATCCTTTCTCATTCCTTTCTCATTCCTCTGCCTTGCAGCTGGTTGAACCAGCACATTCCTGCACTGGACCCTGTGGCCATGAGTCAAGTCTGGCCACCTCAGCCCCATCCCAGGACTCCCTGGCTGAGCCCCCTCCTCACCCCTGCGGAGCTGCGGCGCCGTCAGCACAAGTCTCCCCGCCAGGCTCGGAGACACGGCGCCTCTCCAGCACAGCTCCACCATTGATCCCCTCTCTGCTAACAAACAGCTGCCTCTCTGGGCTCTAATTAAAATGGATCGAGGTTTATTTAAATGCCCTCCTTTTCCTGCTGCGAGAGCGGGATGCACTTTGCTTAGCAACCGGCAGTGCGGAGAGGAGCCGGATCGATACCTGCTCTGTGACACCAACAGACACCGGCCTGAAAGTGCTCAGCACTGAGAGGGACTCTGAGCTCCTCACCAAACCCTCTCCCTAGCCAAGAAACACACTCACAGCCCTGGAAAACCTCTGGGTAGATGTGGAGGGATGGACAGACAGAGGGGGAGAAGGAGAAAGGGAGGTGCAGGAGGTGGATGGGCAGACAGAATGTCTCCAGTCTTCTGTGTCTTCTCTTGTCTGCTCTCCACCCTGGTGAAAGGATGGAAATCATAGAATCATCCAATTTTAGGGGTTGGAATGGAGCTCA